CATTTTAAAACCTTGAGGGGGAAGCCCACAAGGGAAAACCCATAAAAGACAATATCTGCTAGCGGTGGGCTTGAGCTGTTACAAATAATATCAAAGTCAGACACTAGACAGTGTGACAGCAAGGACGCTGGGCCCCAAAGGGGTGTAGATTGTGGGATCCCACATCGGTTAGAGAGGGGAACGAAGGATTCCTTGTAAGGATGTGGAAACCTCTCTCTAGTAGACGCGTTTTAAAACTTTGAGGGGAAGCCCAGAAGGAAAAGCCCAAAAAGGACGATATCGGCTAGCAGTGGGCTTAGGCTGTTACATATTATCACAAGAAAGTCCATGGATCTTGTTACTAATAGTTCTTGTCGAACGATAAAAAGTTACATACGTACCTATGGCCGATGACGAAGCGAATTATAATCCCCTTCTCCTCCTCTAGTTTCTTCCTCTTTTCGCCTATTTTTCAAGTTTTCAACCACTCTCATCAGCACATAATGTAAACAAGAAGAAATGATAGCACAAACCGAAACATAACTGTCACGGGCTACTTAACCTTGAGGTACCCACGTTGCACGAACCGAATCTCGTCTTTTCCTGCTACTAAAAGCAGTATTGATCCCTACAACCATCAAGTATCTTCTTCTCCCAGATGACAGGGAACTCTTTAGATCGTCCGATGAAGGCGAACCGCTCTGTATCGACTCTTGTGCTGCCTTGGCAGCAGCCAATTCCATCTCCAAATTTGAAATGGTCTTATCTAATGTTCTGCATAGCACAATGACATCAAAGTAAACTTGCAGTTTGGATTCTTCGTGATAAATTCGTAAAACAGTTTCGGGTTTCACTCACTGTATGGCATTGTGAGTCTTAAAGACTTCTCCGAAAATGTTTCTCGACACACGCTTAACGTCCTTCTCATCCAACTATAAGACAAACAAATCAGAAAACTAAGATAAAGATAACAGGATAAAGAAAAGTAGCAATGTAGCTACTTTCTTGGAAATGTATGCTTTGGACAAGTTACATGAACAGCTTCGAATATGCTTACCGATTTCGAATCGCAACCTTCTGAAACTAACTTCAACTTTTTGGCTTCGTACGCCGTAGTTCGAGCGATTCCTCTAGGTTCAGGAACAGTCCACATCCTACAAGCAAGTTTAATATGATCTTCAGTTAATATTCAAGCATATCTCTTTAATGCCCTGCTCGGGCCGAGCGTCCTCACTGATACACCGCCCAGTGCCGGGCTCTAATACCATTTGTAACAGCTCAAGCCCACCACTAGCAAATATTGTCCTCTTTGGGCTTCCTTTTTAAAACGTGTTTACTAAGGAGAGGTTTCCACACCCTTATAAAGAATGTTTCGTTTCCTCCCCGACCGTTGTGGGGTCTCACAACCCACCCCCTTTAAGGCCCAACGTTCTTGTTAGCACTCGTTCCTCTCAGAACCCATATGTGATTCTGGTTCTTAAACAAAGCATTAGAATAGTCTTCCCGACAGAGCTGAATCTTGAACTCCTCGAAACAGACCTCTTTTTTACCATAGTTCACGGTGAAAGAAGAACACTCAAGCTTACAATGAAATCAAATCCATAAATCTAAAACATCATAGTATTCAGCTAAGTGTCAGACTGAAGATGGGATATGAATGGCAGATCTTATTGCATTGAAGAAATGGTGAAAAGAAACAGTTCTTCAACCTCAAGACCAAAGAAGAAGAGCTATAAATACTGTCGGCTGGCATTTAATAAACGAAAAACAGCAAAGTTTCCCCAATAAACAAAGACCCAAAACCAAAAAAATTGGTCAAATTAGAACCCAAAACCTGGAAATCAAAGAAAAACATCTCAATCATCGATCAAACTCCACAGCAATAAGAACTCAGCTAATTTAACAAAAACCCATCAAATTTTCACAGAAACGAACCTGTTCGTGAAGATCATCCCCAGACAGAAGCTGCTCAGGCAAAGAAAAACAGCCCATCTCTGCGAAACAACGCTCCGTGAAGGTTGCTCGGCCTTAATTTTCCAGGACATCCTCAACCCAGATTCTATTTATGCTGTCGCTAACAACTTCTCACAAGAAAACCCCATAAACATTCGATCAAATGAAGACCCAGATGAAAAAATGAACAAAAATTCAAAATAAAACAGCTGGGAGATCGAGAAAATTTGAAATTAGGGTATAGAACAATGTTTGAAACAGAGGATTAAGAACAGAGAAGAGTATGAAACAAATTTGTCTGTGTAGAAGATCTCTGGAAGCTGAAGGGAAATGAAAAAGCAGAGAAGGAAGAGGGGAAGACTGACTAACTAACCTCTGGCTTAATCCAAACCACCAAACTGTTACATAAAGTGACATAAATACCCTTTGTCAGACCTTCATACAAAAAAGTTTAGCAGAGAGAGAGAGGTGGCTGAGTTCCCATCAAGCATGGTGCCATGGAGATCATGTGGTGCCATGTTCCTTTCAATTTATATGCATTTTTTTTCACTAATTTCATCAAATTTTTTTAAAGAAAGATTCAATTTTTAGTATGAAGGTTATATATTGGGTCATGACGCAAATTCATTCAATTTTTAGTATGAAGGTTATGTATTGGGTCATGACGCAAATTCATTTTCCATTTCCAAAATCGACCTCCGTTTTTGGGATCTCGTTGGTGGGAATATAGGTCGATATGTCTCCATCTTGTGTTTTAACGATGGGTAAGACAGTCAAGCTACTTGCACTTGTCTGGTCCGATTGTTTAGCAGCTCTTTCTAAGAGACAAGAATGTAAATAGAAAGTTATCACCTGAAAAAGTCTCACGGCTAGATCCTCTTCCGTCCCTCGAGACCAACAAAGGGTAGTACAGGAATATTCACCTGTTCGGCCTGATCTTAGGCCCTGACTCACCCTCTGTGGATGAACCTTGTGGAGGAACCCTTAGGTTTTCGGGGCATTGGATTCTCACCAATGTTTGCGTTACTCAAGCTGACATTCTTGCTTCCGCTTCGTCCTATTTGGTTGTACAATATTTTTAGCTCGTTACGTTTTTAAATTTTTTTTAACTTTTAAAAGCTTCGGGTCTTTAAACTTGCATTTAGTGTTGGAAAACCCGTGCAATATTTGATGGATAGTACCGTGAGAATGTAATAATTAGAGTCATGACTTTAAGTACAGATAGTATACTCTTTCGACTATTTCATTAATTTAAGATGGTTGTTTGAGATCCCAAACATTGACAAACAATTATTTTAATTACTTTTTAATATTAATTTATATAAATATATATATATATATATAGGATATTCTTAAATTAGATTATTTTATCATATAGTCAAAAGAATAAATGAAAGTCAAACTCTCTCAAAGTGGAAGATATTTTAGAGAAACCTTTATTGCATATTTGGGAGTTTTTTAAAATTTGAGTTTCAAATTCCAAATATGTAATAAAAAGTAGATAAAGATAAAAGGGGAAAAGCAAGCAAAAGGCAAAGATTGACCAACAAATAGATATAAATTCTTTTTCCAAAATTTAAAAAAAAAAAAGTTAAATTTATTAGATATAAAATTATTCTTTTCACTCTTTTTTATTATCTATTTTTCATATATTTTTTAATTTTAAATTTAAGTTTTGAAAGTTAAATAAAATTGTTTTTTTGGGTTAAAAATTGAACTTTTTTTATTTATTTTAACATATATGAAATTATATAAGAATATATATATATATATATATATATATATATATATATATATAAATCATAGCTCTTTAAAGAGGCTGAAATTGAAATTTAAAAAAATAAAATAAAATATAAAAATAAAATTGCACGTGAAAGAAGGACAAAAAGAAGGATACGTGGCAGACTGTGATTGGATGGAAGTAAAAAAAAGCCTCCATGGATAATGAATCACGTGACATGTCGTCCCAATGTCACGTGGATGCTGCCAAAGTTTTCTCTAGAGATCTACCCATTTATAGACACGTGTTATCATTCCAATAAATTATACTAGCCCACCATTTTTTTTTTATAAATTATCAAATTTAGTATTATAATTAATAAACATTTTAAAACCACATTTAAAAAAAAATCTTATTAACTTGTTTAATGATATTCTATTTAATATCTAATATATTTTTTGCTTTGAAAATTTTATAAAAATTTGAAATAATGAATTTTATTTAATTTATCCATATTTTCTATAATTTAGTTTTTTTTTATTTTTTTTTTACCTTCAAAATTCCTTTGCATTAAAAAATATATATACTTATGTAATAATCTTGTCAGGAATTATTGATTTTATATTTTTAATTATTGTAACAAAAATACATATTTACTAATAATTTTTTAAAAAATAAGATAAATATGATATGGAGATCTTCCTAGTTCAGTGTCAAAGCATTGAAACTAGACATGGTGTACTAAGCTTAGTACAAATCCCAAAAATCATCAAACCCAATAGTCTGATTCAAAATAATAGGAAAATTAGAAGAATATAAATAATAATAATAATAATAATAATATCACAAATAGAAGGCTGGTACGACAGGCTATTAGCTTAGTGTTATAGCACACTTTCGATAATTGCATCGTTGTTCTTAGATGAGGGCTCTTAGCTACATGAATAGTTCAACGTGCTCATCAACCGTGCTCTCCTAAGATGTGGATCATAAAAAGATTATGATAATTTTATTAAACCAACTAGACTAAACGCTAACTTTCTTCGAATTATGTGGACACAACTTGTAATTTAAACTAAAAATTACAAATATATCACATTTAAACAGTTAAATAAAAAAAAATTTAAAATACTCATCAACATAACTCAACTCTACATGTCTATAAATGATTTACGTCTATCAATAATATACTACAAAATCAATCACCAATGATACAGTAAAGTAATTTTAAAAAAACAAAAAACAAAAAAATGTTCAAACAAGACAATATATTTACGAATACGACAGTCGACGTTGTTTCCTATTATACTTTTCCTAACTATTAATCAATAATTTATTCAATCTCTAGTCGAGAATACGTAACTTATGTCAATTGAGCTAGGTTGATGAAGAAAAATGTAATACGATCAAAAGAAACCTATAGTTTCAATACATATGGCCATGAAAATGCAGTAAAATCATATGGAAATTTAATAAGTCTCTAATAGGTGAAACTTAGAAGAGAACTAAGGTTGGCATTCTAATCTTCCAGCACCACACCCACTCTGATTGCTACGTTTTCTGTGCATACCCACCAGCTTGTTGCACAGCCTTTTACCCATCGAGCTGCCCATTCTTATTCTAAGCCTCTGCCTTTTTCACTTTTTTCTGGCTCCTATGGATGGTAGAAACCTTGTCAGTTTGGAATAACAATACAAATAGAGAAGAATCTCTTGCAAAGTTTTTAAACCAACATAGATTGCATTGTCGTTGTTTACAGCCTGCAGAGAGATCACTGTTTCAAGCACTTACCCTGAAAAGACATCTGATAGCCAAATACAACAAACTACACTGTTCAAGGACGCCCTCCATTCATTTTTGCATTTTCTTCACCAATTTCAACTAGAATTTGTGTATGGTTTGGTTTTCCAATTCTATCTGAGCATCCAACTAGAGATAGATATTGGTTTAATTCTATTTCAATCGTTTAAACTATAGAATTTTAACGGTTAATCTAATAGTCCAAGCCCACCGCTAGCAGATATTGTCTTATTCGGGTTTTTCCTTTAAAAGTTTCTCCTAAAGGTTTTAAAACGTTTCTGCTAGGGAGAAGTTTCCACATCCTTATAAAGAATACTTTGTTCCCCTTTTCCACCGATGTGGGATTTCATAATTCACCCTCTTCGTACTCAGCATCCTTGCTAGCACTTGTTTCCTCTCTCAGATCAACGTATAGTTCTTAAACTATAGTTTGGATTTGATCATAACAGTCTTATGTACAACTCGTTTCCTCTCTCAGATCAACCGTCTTATGTTCAACAGACAGTTCTTAAGCATCTTTGCAGGCACTCGTAAAGAGTTTGGATTTGATCATAACAGTCTTGTCGTAACAAATTTATAGTTCTTAAGCTAGCTCTTAATAATGATGATTTCAAATGTTTGTTAATCATTTTGGTTTAGATTTTGTGCTGTCGTTGGAGACAGCGTAATCCAATTAAGAGGAAGAGGAATGAGCAGCCAAGTTGTTTTGGAAATGATATCTAATGAGGGGATTAAGAAAAATGATTGGTTCTCCCACCATTTCTTTTAGTTGCTTTACCACGCAAATATCTCGTCCTTGTTAGGATTTATTTACTTTCAATAACATCCACTAGTTTTTGTCTATTGACACAGCTTAATTATCTGTCCTTTTGTAGGGTATGCTTCTTAAAACTCTAGAATAAAGGGTGAATTTATTGAATCAATCAAACTTGGACCCATTTGGTTTATGATGGAAAGAGACTTTAAATTAAGGAAATTTCCTTTTTCCTTTATGAGTCCAAAGGTGTATGTGGTGTGTGGATCATATCTTAGCTTGTATTATATTTAAGTTTTTAAAAAATATATATATTTTATACGTTAAAATTATTGACTATTTATTTATATTAGAATTCGAGATGCTTAGAGGTACTGTTCAAGATCTTAGATTTGCTTTCTAGTGGAAAACTTAAATTTTGTTTTTTGTTTTTGAAAATTAAGCTTTTAAACATTTTCCGTTTTTTATGAAAAAGAAAAAAAACACCCATAATTTTTTCAAGAGCCAAACAATTTTCAAACAAGACCCTAATAATTTAAGACGCTTTGAAAATTGGGTCGGAGTCTAATGAGAGTAATTAAACCTTCCCTATTCTCTACAAAGAAAGTTGAACTCTAGCTCTAGAAGGCTGCTGATCCTTGGCTTCATTCTTCCACAAAACAAACCAAATAAATTTGACTAGGACAACAAAACTAATATTATATAGGACACTATAAAAAGACAAAGATAGTCTGAACACAGAAAAAGAAAGTGCTTGATATAACAAAAGCCATAAAAAATCAATATTGACTCGTAAGTCGAAATTAGTATAAGAAATCAACATCAGCTTCAAAACGTCAAACCTATTTGTGTTCCGTAGGTTTTGTTAGCTCCACCTAGGTAGTTTGTTCATATGAAGCTAGAAGTTGAATAAAGGCAATGGATAAGTTTGTACAAAGTCCTAAAGATGGAAAACCTAAAGAGTAGAATAATGATCTATGAAAGGCAATGATAATGATGATGGGTTTTGAGGGCATAAATAGGTATGGAACAAAACAGGAGGGAGTGGTCACAAGCCACGAGCGTAGGCCCCAAAGACAAAGCCAAGGCAGCAAACGCCATTTCCATCTACATCCACTCACCATTACAACCGACAGCCATGTGGCTTCCTTCCTTCCTTCCTTCCTTCCTTCCTTCCTTCCTTCCTTCCTTCCTCTAACCCTCACCCTTTCCATCTCATACTCTCTTATAATCATACTTTTTCTAAAGTCTTCTAAATCCTAAGACTTTGGAATGGGTCAGATGGCTACATGTGGGAGTGGGTGGCTCACCTAACATGATACCTATATCTATGCTCTCTTCTTCAAAAACATGCCAACAATAATTTGAATGATAGACATGTAACAATTGGGAAACATTTATAAATGTAGGTAAACATAAATAACAAGAAACACGAACAAGTTACACTATTTAATTCTTTTTTATTTTATTAATATTACTATTGAAAAGAGAAAACCAGAAACAAAAAGCATGGACAATGAGAAGCAAAAAAAACGAAAATAGTACTAAAGTGGTTTTAAAAGTATAGATTTGGTTCATGAGAGACTATAAAAAAACAATATTCATAGACCCAAAACCCTGACCTCAAACTCATTCTTTTTTTTATTTCTTCTTTTGGTCTTTAATTTTTATCTATTTTGCAATTTGGTCCCATTGACTTTAACATTAGACAAAAAAAAAAAATCAATGATCAAAGTTGTTTAAGTTTCAAAAGCCATGGACCAAAATAAACAAATAAAACGAAAAGACTTGTACCATATATTAAAATTTTGTCTTTGTTTTTATTTTTTAAATTTGAATAAGAAAGATGTACAAAATCATGAAAAAATAAGCTTAATTTTCAAAAAATTTAAAATAAAAAACCAAACAATTATCAAATCAAGGCTTAGCTACTGATCTGAAATCTACATCGCTTACAATATATGGTTGGCCAAAGGTACTTTACCTTATGATTGTTAGGTTGTTGCTCCTACACAAGTTGAATTCAATTGCAAAGGCCCTGCCATTATTGTTAGAAAAATAAACTCCACCCCAAAATCCTCAGTTTGTTAGACTGTCCTTTTCTACGAGTGGCTAAGAAAATAATGTCTTAACTAAGCATTCTTAATGTCAAGATTTTGATAATTACCAGTTTATACAATGTTGACTGATAAGGTTATAAGGTTATAAGCTCCACGTTAAATGAAAATTTCCTATTTTATTTTTTAAGAAGTAAACACGTTTGCCAAGAACTTTCAAGTTCTTCGTAATCTAATCTATTTTTCACAGTATATTTGGTATTCTAACAAAAGTTCATATGTAGAAAAGGAATCTCTAAATGTGTGTTCTTTTATCTTTCAATTGTGGTTAAGATGTGAGATACTTGCCTAGACATATAAAGATTGTTAACGTCAGGCATAATCCAATATGATAGATAACACTCTGCCTGATGTTGACATTTGAACCTTTGAATAGAAATAAAGATCATCTACTATATATCCTAAATAATTTCTAATCTTGTTGAATATTCTCAATTTCACCATTAAGCTTTTCCGGTTCTCAATTTTACTCCTAATATACATACAATTCTAAATTAGATCCTAAACAAACAAAAAAAAAAAGTTGTTAATAAAAAGTTATATCATTAAGTTAGTGTTCTAAGCATGTCCCTCGAATGTTATTTGACATCAATCTCTACCTGCTATAAGAAATACTTATTTCTCCTAAGTTTGGATGTTTAAATGGAATACACACATATCTAGGTATGTTATGGAAGAACAGCATTGAGAATTTTCAATACATTACAAAAAACAAGAATTTCAGAAGGTTAAAGACCAAATGAAGAATTACCTAAAAGATTAATGTGAAATATTTAGAAGACTATTAACCTTATATTAAAAAGACAAAGGGTCAATCGTTTACCTGGAAATGACTTCAGTAATGAATTCCATTTAAATTGTAGGTAAGCTCTACTGCAGTTCCCTTCCTTTGCAAATTATATCCGCTAAGCTATGCTAAATAATTCAAGAATGTTTAGTCAAAAAAATCCAGAGCCAAGCATGAAGCCAGTTAAGAAAGAGAGATGAAAGTCTCACAAGATGGGGACAAGGACAATGCCGCCATCTTAATCTTTTAATACACAAAATCTGCACAAAGTTGAATAAACCAACTTCCTCAGTGCAGAGACATTAAAAATAACAGAAACATAACGTGCACCATTCAAATGGAGAGATTTTACTTGTGGGAATGACGAGAAGATAATCTGCTAATTCCTAGCATAGAATGTGATGCTGGCATTACATGCAACATGAGAATTTTGCAGTGCTTCAAATGGTCCTACTCAATAGTAGGGGAAAGTTTCTTTATAGAATTGTACACACTGAATTCGCCGAAGTCCCTTCTACCACTGGAACAAAAAAGAAGTGGAACTTTCTAGTGTCCACAAATCAGACCATTCCAATAATACTGACAATATGAACATAACAAAACTTCAAAAAAAAAAAAATTGTAAATTTGTAGATGACATGCGGAAGGAGATAGGGAGATTTTTATGGATTAAAAAACTGTTACGTAGTACTCTAATTTACGTTGGAGTGGAGTTATTAACTCTACCCAGCCCCAAACACTCTTTGAAGTGTAATTGGTACTGAAATAGTGCAATGCCTTACAAGGTAAGAAATGATAATCATTTTTATATAAGACAAGAAATGTTAGCATAAAAGAGACATGCAATGTGCTCCCATTTTGAAGCTTGGAGTTGAAATTAAGTAATTCAGTGTACCTGTGGTTGACATCCCAACCAGCGGGTAAGAAACGAGGTTGAATAGCAGCAACAAACACTTGTCTCCACCTTTGACAAAACTGTCGGATGCCATCCTCGCCATATTCTGCAAGTAGATGATCCACTACTTGTTTACCATGTGGTCCATGTCCCAAGAGTGACAATTTAGAATTGAATTTAGGTTGAGCAGTTATGGCGGAGCCGTTATCAGAAACTTTGACCTCTCCACAAGGCAAACATGTTTCGGGCACGGTACCATTATCTGAGTTCATGTGATTGTTAACATCTGCATCTGCATCTGCATTGAATTAGAACAGAAAGAATGACTGCTTGAAGTACTTATTTTCCGCCCTTATGAACAACATTTTATCGTTTGCAAAATACATGTATCAGCAAAAGCGAACTAGTCTGCACATACCAATGGATGAATTAGTCACAGTCGATGAGTCAATGCTACAAGCACCATTCTGATGCTCAGCATCTGGAAAAATATGCTGTCCTGAATGTTTCAAAGCTATACCCTTTTTCTTCTGAAGTCGTCTTCTCTCATGAGGACTCATGCCAACAAGCAGAGCCTTTTCCAAATCTTCTTCAGATATCTCCCTCCGCCCATAGTATCTCATAACAACCTGAAAACACAACAAAGATAGGAGAGATGAGGAAAATATATAATTTGAATTTCAGAGGGATTGATAATCAACAATTACCGGGTGTTACTGAAGATTCTACAAGAATGGGAACTACATAACTAAAAACCATTGTCTACAAAGGGCCAATACCTACAGCATACTAATGAATGATGTTCAGGACCTTCTTCACCGTCTCAAACTACTGATGGAGAATATGAAAACATGCTAATTACTATAATTGATGATTAATTTAATCCTATAGCACCAAGAAAATCTTGAATGATAAATTTCTACCAAGATGGAGCACTATTAAATGATTAAGCATTTGATATCATGAAACCAAAGATCTTTTCAATGGCTACGATAGCAGATGACTCGAGTCAATTATTAGTATCTCAAGCATTGAACTGCATGTTTATTTCTAAATCACATGGACACATATACATAGACACATATACGAAGACTATCTCAATTGCAAAGTACACAACACATACATGCATGAGTTCCTCTTGACGTTTTGGTGGCATCCTTGGTCCATGCCGCAACAGGGCCATAGCAGCTGTTCTTAATTCTAAAGGTGACACACCTTCCTCCTGAAAGTTGGTGGCCGAGTCAGATGACTCAACTAAATCAAAGGCCTCCTTGGTATCAACCACCCTACGAACAAAAAGTGGAATTCCAAATTCTGCAGCAAGATTTCTCTTGTGCTTCTCAGCAGCAGCATGGGCAACTTCATGACAATCCACACAAAGTAAGACAATATCATGGGAACGATGACTTTTTAAATGCTCAGGAAAATGTATTCTGTAGCATGAGGGGATTATTCGATAACGTAAATAGTGGTTTCCTTCACCACAACCAACACATATATTCTTTTTGCTCTGGATATAAAAGTCATTGCCCTCATCTTCTGGACGGCCTTTAGGTTCAAAAAGAATCTTTATGGCAGGAGGATCATCATCAACAAGCTCTGCCAACTCTCGCCGCAAATACCTGTTTAAATACAAAGATAGTTGCATGTTGTCAAACACAATTGCATAACCAGTTTTAATTATAACTTGCATGAAATAAAACTAAGAGATGCTAACCAACCATTCAAGTTTTCGCCGATCACAGTAGCAAAGCAAGCGCCCATCATTTGCATAAATCCTACAATTATGATAAACTGGAGATTTGCAGGAGAACTTCTGCACAAAAAGCTCTCTAGAAGCTTTTTTAGACATTTTCTTTGCGTTTCTTCTATCATTTTTTTTAGATATTGTCATCATTTTTAGATTATACTTGACCAACAGCGCATAATTAAATATAGAAAGGGGACAACTGCCATTAGAACCTATACAGTTTTGTAAAATCCCCAAAAATATATTATCCAGGTCACCAGACTTGTCACGGAGAAGACAGTGGAGATCATCCAAATGGCTACAAACAACAGGGGAGGGGCCTGGAAGAAGCAGACTCGGGCTCAAATCCACATTCAAATCAGCTTGTGCAATAGTTGCATATAACTCCCTCGTATTTTTTGACATTTGAGTAGCAAGAGCTATAATAGCCTGATCTGACAACACATATCTCAGGCTCTCATCATGAACTCGAGCCTGAAATGAAATGACAATCTCAGATTCAGGTAAGCAGCCATAGTGGAACTTCCGTTTGCTAAAAAGCAACCATCATAGTTAATTTACTTATTATGGTCCTTATAAGCAGAAGGAACCGGTAACAAAGGTGGTAATGAGTCAGGCTCAACGATGAAGTAACAAGTCTAACCTTCAGGATGTCTAATTTTTAGCCAAATTGGAAAGAGGCAATTGAGATCATTTCTCTTTCAAATGACAGCCGTCTTTTAGAACTAGAGACCATATAAAGATTTTGACCTTTTTGGAATATGTATTCCTGCCTATAACTCTAGCCACCTATTTAGAAAAAAGATTTTCCCTATTTGTAAGATGACTATAGAACAACATAGTCAAGTATGCTCCTTTAACGTCCAATCTTCTTTCATTTAATTTTCTTTTGTTTCCTATCAAAAAATAAATAAATAAACAACCAATCTTCATACAATAAAATTTGGATCCTCACTAAGGTGTCATGATTAAACTTCCAAAGAGTTCATCACAGAGACCCAATCTTCTGTCTCGCCATCTGGAAGGTTACTTCTCAACCTAAGCAACCAACTACTGTGGGAGTATTTACAGTAAAAGGTCAATATCAACTTTTTAGAGGTGGGCACATTCGATATTAAGAGAAAAACTACTATTAGAGGTTGGTGGAAAAGCCCACGGTTGCCTAATAGAAGTCTTCTTCGACCATACCATTATACAAATTTTGAAATGAAAATGCTCTCCCATCGAATATTTACATTTATAGATGAAATTTTAGGGGAATCTTGCGAGTCTTAAAACACTTAGTGAACCAAACCCTAGCGTCCATCCTATAAAGAATTAACACAAGCTATTACTGAGTACCAAAATGGTTCCTTCTCAATTAGAAAACACGAAACCCCCTTAGACATAAAATACCTAACGGAGTAAGATCAAATTGATAAAAATTCAAAATAAAATAAATATAAAAAGCTTAGAGAATAAGCAATTATGTTCTTCATTTTTTTATGATGATTAACTACTGACCATTAAGTCTCGCCAAGCACATAATCTCCTCACATGATCCTGAAACTGAAAGTTCAAAGTCAGGTAATAGAATTTCAAAATTTTGTATTGTGGTACTACTTCAAATGATATAACATCAAAGTTGTTGAGAAAGCAGCTCACTTGAGTTTTAAAGGAATTTAATTGACTGTTTAGATGACGGTAACATATTGATGATGCAGCAGACTCTCCAGGAGAACCTTCAGTTTCTTTTGTGTAAAGTTGCAAACAAATCATGTTTGATCGCCGACTAGCCTCAAGAAGAAAATTGAATTTACCATCGGTGGAAGAGTTTTCTGCTACATTAATGCATTTAGATATCTAATGATATGGGATGATATATAATTTGAAGGTAGCCAACTAAAATGTTAATTACTCTGCCTCTGGCCTTAAAGGCTTTTTTCCCGAATGTTTGGAGTAATCAAAGATGAAAATGTCAAAGTCATGATATGAGAAATGGGAATATGCGAAGAACGAGCAAGAAGTAAATATTGATATATCGATATCAACCAAAATATCAAAATCTCAAACTTAATGGAACATGGATGCTGAGTATCAATGAACAATCCTAAAAAAATAACGAAATCATTGTAGTTTATAAGAAAAATAAAATTGAATTGATAAATAAAATTTTAAAGCCACTCAAATAAATTATACATAATTCTACATTTTGTCTACCATGCCATAAAAAGAATGCGCGTGAATCAATATCTAAAACCATTTTTTAATTAAAAAATTTCACATCTTCAGAAGATGGTAGAGAAATGTGGCTCACCGATATTAAGACATTAATGTTAAAAAAAATATCGATGATAATATTTGCACTATTGAATCTATTATGAAAACTGCACAATAAGTTAACAAAATCTTTTAATACATTACTCGAGTATGGCCCTATTTTCTTCCTTATTTCTAGTTATCATCATGTTCATCTTCCATCCATTTTTATTTCTCCACATTTACAGTACAACTTATACAAAAAAAAAAAAAAATGAATGGCAGCAAACACAAACGGATCCAAGACATACCATTAACCTGTTTCAGCTCAGAAAGTAAACAGTTTGCAATATGTAGGAGGTAGTGGGCATCTGTCCTAGCATACCGCACCATATCTTCTGATAGGGGTCTTAGTCTCCAATCTTCTCGCTGACCATTAATGAATAACCACAAATAAGCAAGACCAAAAAGGCCGTTATATGTATAACAAGATAGGATATGATCAATCCTTATCTTATTTAAGTTGAGGCTGTAAGTAAAATAGGTTTAGTAAATTTACACATCATTTGAAATAGCTCTATGGCAATCTTGGACAGTCAAACATGCAACTAGTGCGACGTCACTATTTTCAAATAGAATAGAACATGACGATAGACATGTTATAAAATGCTAGTTTCACAAATTCTTACAAGTATGATCAGGAAAATTAATATTTCAGCATCAAATGCCTACAACCACTATAGTTATCTTACATACGAAATCAGATGATCAAGATGTTGATTCTCATACAACATAGTGCATTTTCAAGACAAGATGTCCAACCTGCAACATTTTGTTCGTAGCTACCCCACAATAAGTTTCTAGTAAGTAGGCCAGTGACTTCTGAGGTTTTGACAGCACTTCACAGGCCTACATTGTAACAACAAGCACAAGATGAAAACAGGGAAAAAAAAAAAGAAAGACCTCTCACTCTTTCACACATGAGAAGTGCATAGCTCCATATTTCCTCCTTATATAGGTAATATTTCTTTCCTTTAAAAAGCATATCCTCACCTTCGCAGTGTCAAATAAATTGACTACATATATGTGGAAGTCCCTTTGTAGCCAGAGAATGTCATTATCAGCACCATGAAACACCTAAACACAAAAACTAATTTAATGGGTACCTTGCATTCATAAACTAAAGTTTTCTAATACCAAATAAAACATTAACCCAAAGAAGAGAATCAATAGAATTCCTCCAGCTGATGCAACTGCTTCACTTTTCTCATCAATACCAAATTGATGGGGTTCTGAAACATTGCTTTTAATCTAGATACCAAGCTTGTCAGAAATCAAATCCTTAAACCAGTACCCAAGCACATATTTCGGTACCTTGCAAATATGACTATTGGCAAAGACGGGACGTAGAAGACTCATCGAATCATGTAGAGCTATAGTGTCAACCAAATAATCTTCCTTGTCTGTAGAAATCTGCTTCAAACAAAATAAAAAACAAAAACATGAACGTGAAAATTAACTAGGCGGGGATTGCAAGGAAAGACTCATCAATTTACGTGTACAAAGGCCCTTAGAGATAGACTGTGTGTGTGTGAGAGAGAGAGCGAGAGAGAATAAATTTACCTGTACTAAAGCAGTGAAGCCCAGAAAAGATCTTAGACTGTGCTGCTCGGTATCAACAGCAAACACCATTTCTTTATTCAACACATCCACGAGTTCTTCCAATTGAGAAGCGGTCTCAACCCAAACATAAGTGTCACTCAAGGTAAAATCGTTTCTTTCACTACTAATAAAATCAAATTCTGACGAAGAATTTTCCAACAACGATAGTATTTCTGATTCGTAGGGATGAGAGTTTACATCATTGTCTGCAAAAAAAAAAAAAAAAAAAAAAAAAAAAAAAAAAAAAAAAAAAAAAAAA